TGCCAATTTCAATAACATAATCTCAATCCTAAATCGGTGGATTAAGATCTATTTTTGACAGAAACTCCTTATACCTAATGTCAAAAAAAATTATCCATTTTTAAATGGGTTGACATACGTTATTCAAATCGGCAGCTAGTTTATGAAGCTTGTATCAAATCCTGTTAAGTTGTGGGACTGGCGTAAAAAATAAGCGTATAAGTGCTTACCTAAATAAAAATTTGAAACCTTGAGGCCCAGCGCCCACTATCGGCATCGGCAAGGAAAAGGATCCTTCGGCATCTTACATGTCACACACTGTCGGAAACTATGCTTTAGCATGCTGGAACGTTCTTAGGGATGACGAGGTGTCCTTAAGCATGGCGCACCATCCTGAAGCATGCCGAAGCATGTCATTATCGTTTTTGTCGTCATAACAGTCTCTGAGTTGTTACAAGCTAGTTGTCTGAGTTGAATTTAATATGATGGACTGGGATCTAGTGCTCATAGCAGCTTTTGCTGAAGAAGAAGAGAAATCTAATCAATCAAGACGAAGGCCGGAGGATGCCGAAGCATTCCGAAGGATTCTCAAGGCTGCCGATACAGCAGCCTCAAGCATACCGAAGCGGTATTTTTGGTATTACGACCATATGCACGGCAATTTCTACTTTATTGCCATTATGTTAATGTATATTGCTATTTGCCACCTAAAATCCTCAGACGTGCCGATTCCGATAGTGAGCACCGGGCCTAACACGTCACGAGTTTGTGTATGTGTATACTGGATACTATGTATAGATCGTTCTACTTCAGCTAACGCACAATGTATATTCACCTCTCGTCTTTCGTCTATCACCAATAACGCAGTAATCAAATTAAGCTGCAGTTCGATGGCACAATATCATGTACTGTCTACTCTCGCATAGAGTGTACTTGTAGAAGATACTCTGGCTTTTATGTTCGTCCCATACCGTAAAGAGTGAACTCACTTGACTGACGAACATCGAGTACATTTTGACGGCTTCATCACCCATCAACAGCCTACAAGTGCCCACTGCTGATAATCTTTGAACATTAATCACCATCCTTGTTCATTGCGGACTGGCGATTACAAACTTACAATTAGAAATTAGGTAACTGGCCAATCAGACAGCCAGACAAGGACGTTGAAAAAAAAAAGCGGACACGCATCAACACGAAAGACATCTGTTATTTTCTTAAGTCTGGTATCCCAACCCAGCCATCGCGAAGGACACACCGAGCGTCGGGGATCGCGGGACGATCTCCGGCCACCGTAAGCGCGGGCCTGCGGACGTCGAGCATGGATCTTTATGGATTCTGAAACAGACCCGAGCGTACGGCGCGTTGCGTTCTGCGCGCGCCTCAAAGAGCCATTAGACCACTACAAATGGGGCCCAATAGGGCCGATGCCGATTCGGAGTCGCGGAGAACTTAACGAGTAACCGGGGCTCCGGCTCGACGTGCAGGAGGAAGAACGGGGTGGTTTTTAGTCAGTAAGAGTCTGACACTCCCTCGCCCAGGCGGGAGCAGTCATTCGATGATTTTCCCCCCTTAAAAAAAAAAGTCTGGTATCCCATTACACACGCACACATAAATTACCCACTGACATTTTGGTGTTTATATCATTTCTAAGTGACATTATGCCCGCCTTTCTTTCAACGTCTTTGGCTTCAGACGTCTGGATTGTAACCACTAAACCAAAGAGACTGTTAAAAGAAATTCTCAACCGATCATATAACCATTTAAAGTTTAAACTACATAAAAGGGTATTTTCCTTAGGGAATATCTTTGTTTCTTTATATCTGTACTTAATTAAAGTAACTCGTAAAACTCACTCGAGGGAAATTAGAAGAATGTGACTGAAAGCCGTAAAAGACTTCATTATGAACACCTGCATGTGTAGGTACATTGTATGACATGTATAAATGCAGATAATACTACTCTTGACGTAGTCTTTGAAGTAAGTTTTCTCAGTGTAAATTCCCGGCTGTACTGGAGTCGGAACTGTGGCTGTTCTTAACCACGTTTTGTTTTTTATTTCAATTTAACTGCGGATGAAAACAGCTGCAGTTTTGCTCTGGTGCGGCCAAGACCTAATAGGAGCTCCGGAACCGCAGAGGACTTAGCGGGTTGCCGGGGCTCCACTTTGAAGAGCAGAAGTAGGAACGGGGTGGTTTTTAGCCTGAATAGTCTGACACTCCCTCTCGCCTCACCCAGGCAGAATCGAGAAGTCATTGGATGATTTCCCCTAAAAAATAGACTTAGTCTTTTTACTACTAAGAGCGATTTCAATGAGGTAAAAGATTCATAAAGTCAAAAAGCTCTAAACCTCTTTAATATTTTTACGAAATGCCACAAAAGAAACTTTTCTATTCACCACACAACATACTTTCCACAGGAAAATGTATTTACAAAACCAAAATGTAAATACATTTCGGGTATTGTACACTGTCCGTGAAACTAGTGTAGAGATTCTCTACATTACTTTACACGTGTGGCAATGTTTGTGTGTTAGTTTGTACGTACGCAAATGTACATTTCAAAGTTTCGTACTTCATATTTTAGTTTATATAAATGGTATTTATAAATGTCCATGTCTAATTTTTAACTAAATTGCGTCAGTGGTCACGTCGTACAATCTTTGAAGCGAATAATAAGCTATATTGTTAGGTCAAAATTAGAAATTAATAATTACACTATCTACTATAAGAAAACCAAACGAGAAAACATTAAAAAGTTTTAATTAATACGGCAGCGTTTATAAAAAAGGAAAATTCCTAAATTACTTAACTCGTTGAGTACCGTCATTTAAAGACACAATTAAAGAACAATAGGTTGCGGTCACCGGTGACCGCTCGGTGTTTGACAGTTTCAAACCTCCATAATCATAACTAACTTTAACACAATTTGAAACACATTAATTCCAAATATTTGTGCCATTTTACAGATTTGAAACGAAGGCGTTAAAATTATTTAGCTCCGCCTTCCACCATATTTCCAACCCTTGAAAATTTTAACGTACCTACAATAAACAATTAACGAGTTCTCATTATTATAATCTCTTTCAGAAGTTTGGTCAGCGTTAACCCAATTTCTGTTTTGTTTGATTATGAAAATTTTATAATGTCTATAAATGGGAAAAATTAAGTTGAAATTGACGCTTAGTTATATACCTAATAAAAAAGTTACCTATTGCAACAACAGCCATCAATAACAAGAATTATATCAAGGTTCTTATTCCCAGAAGAAGTCCCTAATGCTTAAACATCCAAACTTTATTTGTTAACCAATGTCCAGAAGATGATAATAATAACATAATCACGCCTTTTATCCCCGAAGGGGTAGGCAGAGGTGCACACAAAAGTAACACTTTTCACTATTTATGTTATGAGTCCCATGTAATAGCGGGTGAGCCTATTGCCATATACCAGGCACATTTCCAGACTCCGTGCCACTACTGAGATTTTTTTTAAACACCCAGTAATACTTTACCCGACCCGGGAATCGAGCCCGAGACCCCTTGCCCGGCAGTCGCACTTCCGATCACTCGGCCAACGAGTCATGATAATAATATTACGTTTGAAAAGTCCATCTAAGATTAAAATTAACAATTGTGATCAGACTTATTACAATACAATGTACTGTTATTGACCGCAAACAACCTTGAGAAGGTTTTATACGATTAGATATAAGTAGAAAAATAAACATCTCATTAGTAACCTTTTAGTGTTAAAATCTAGATCTAAATACTAGATAGGGATGACAAATATTTTTTGAAAGACACCATTAGTATTTTTGTCATTAATAATACTGTATGTAAGTATGTAAATAAGTGATTTATATCAAACAATTATACTTAGACTATAATTGACTGCACGGTTGGTGCGGTAGCTGGGCAACTGGCTACCGCGCAACGTCTCGCGAGTTCGATTCCCGCACGGAACAACTCTTTGTGTGATCCAAAGATTGTTGTTCCGGGTCTGAGTGTCATGTGTATGTGAACTTGTATGTTTGTAAACGCACCCACGACACTGGAGAAAATACTAATGTGGGGCAACGATCTTTTAAAAAAAAATCAACTAAAACCTAGGTGGATACATGCCCATTGCTTAGAGAATCTAACTAACATTCCCTAAGGCCCACTGTCTTTAACAAAGTTTTCTTACATGTAGCTACCATAACTAGACTAACATAGATAAATAAAAATACTTTTAACAATAAGTCGGTATAGTATTAGCCAAAATGTGACACCGACAAAAAATAAAATTAAATCTAAAGTTCACATTTCAAATGGTAATAATAAAAGTATTATTTTTAAAAAGCTAGACTGTTTAAATATCGAAGGCGAACAGGTACCGGATAGTATGCCACTTACAAATTTACGAGCTCAAACCAAAACTTATTTTTATTTTTTCTATGAATAGAGGGCGTTGTTTATTGTAAAACGCGTATCTGTTCCGTTTATTTATTCTACAAAGTGTTTATCATTACATTTTCTTCATATTTGCAAGATGTAAGTACTTGGCAAAAAATTTACTTTGAATTTTAAGACATCCTGTGTTAGAATGCATAAAAATAAGTGTAAATAGATACCTGTTCAAAAGTTTTGGACAAAAATAAACTATTGTATATTGACGTCGTGAATTTTTAATAAGCGACAAAATGAAATAGTAAATACATACCTATGACTTAAAATGAACGCTAAAAGGATAATTTTATTTCTTAAATTTGTTTTAAAAATGGAAGCGAATTAAATTTTATAATTTGGTGACACTTATTTAAGGTGACGCTTTATGTAAAGCGTGGACAATATAAGTAAGTAAAAGTTCAAAGAACTATAAAATTACTACAAAGTAATAAACAATACTTTTCCACCAATAAAAATCTTCACTAACAACCACACACAAAAAAAAAGAAAAACTAAACCAAAAACAAGGCCGCAAAATTCAATGTTTACAAAACAATTAATTAGCACAGATAATAAAAAACTAAGTACTTACGTATTTGTTAACAAACACTTTATATCAGAACAAACAGTCAGATTATTTTTATTTGTATACAGATTGGAGACACGAAATATTTAAAACGTTTTGTCGAATGGCGCGGTTCGAGTATTCGCGGTCGGTCTCGCCAACGCGTCACAGAGTACTGGCTGTGTATCGCGCCTTGCCATAGTCTCGGAACTTGAAACCATCTTTATCGGTACTTTATCTTCGATAGCTTTGTAACAAGCATCGATGAAAGCCTATCCATGATATCCTATCGTTGACACTGTAATATACAATGGAAACTCACTGTGTTGTTCTAGTTTGTATTACATTGCATACAAAGGTAGATAAAAAATGATGCCTCCTTCTAAACAGGTTAGCGTAAAATAAAAAAGGTTTAATTTTCGAACACAGTCTGTTCGAAAATTAAACCTTTTTTATTTATCGAATGTATTATTTTGTATTTGATATTGGATTTTTTTTTAATTTTTTTTCTCGTATTTTTGTTTCCATGGTCGTAGCCGCACGCCTGACGTGAGGGTTTAAACTCTTACCAATGCTTTTGTATTACAGTGGACATATTTCGACTGCCGATGATGATGAATTTAAATTATAGAGGTAAGTATGTATGAAAGTTTGTTACTCTTTCATGCAATTGCAAACAAAATTTGGCACAACTATAGAATAATGACTGATGAATAATGACTGCCTCATTGGCCGAGTGCGACTGCCGGGCAAGAGGTCTCGGGTTCGATTCCCAGATCGGGCAAAGTATTACTGGGTTTTAAAAAAAATCTCAGTAGTAGCACGGAATCTGGAAATGTGCCCGGTATATGGCAACAGGCTCACCCTCTATTACATGGGACTCATAACATAAAATTGTAAAAAGTGGGTGTTACATTGTACAGTGGCATTAAGGGCCGTAGTGCCTACGCATTTGGGGATAAAAGGCGTAAGTTTATGGTATGCTATAGAATAACACATGTGTACTAGGCGCCGTACTTGTTTATATTTTACTCAGTGATGCAGACGAAGCCGCTGACTGAAGATAGTAAATCATAAAAATCAGGACTGACCCATTTTCTTGTTCACCTAGGTACATTTTCTTTTTCAAATATAAACATTTTGTTTAGTTTGTGGATTGGATCGGTGCATAATTTGAAAATTTGAATCAGATATTCGATTCATTGTTAAATTCGTTTATAACAGGCTACACGTGCGATTAAATAAACAAAATTGTTATAATAGCTTTTAAATATTAATGATAGTGGTAATTTATAGCGTGATTATGAATAATTTTAATTAGTTTTGTGTTGGTTTTATTACGGTAGCTGCCTCGTTGGTTAAGGGGGGATGACTATCAACTTTTCTGGACTTAACTTTGCGGGGACCAACAACGTCACGGATGATATTGTTTTGTTTAAATGCCGCTGCCGATTGTCTCTGGTTTAGTCTCCAAATTTGAGTAATAGTAACTACAATTGTGCGTGTTCGGCACGCAATTAATTGTAAGTACTAAGTTTGCACTGTTTTTTATGAGGTAAACCGGTAAACGAGTAGATGGATCACCTGATGGTAAGCAATCTACGTCGCCCATGGACACCTGGAACACCAGAGGAGTTACAAGTGCGTTACAGAGGATTGTAGGTAATTCAGGGATTTGGGAGATTGGGAAGGAGAGAGGGAATTGGGCCTTCGGTAACCCCACTCACACAATGAAACACAAAGCAAACGTTGTTTCACGTCGGTTTTCTGTGAGGCCGTGGTATCACTCCGCTATTGTATTGGTAATATAGGCATATTACATACACCTCTTATTACATTGCATTTCATAAAATTAGTACATTAATTCGTGGTAATGTCGTGGTGGCCCGGAGGTTTAAGACGCCCACTTCTCATGCATGAGGGTGCGGGTTCGAAACCTACCAACGGCAAGTACCAATGTGACTTTTTCCGAGTTATATGTACTTTCTAAGATTATTTAGACACCACTGACAAACGGTGAAGGAAAAACATCGTGAGGAAACCTGGACTTATAATTTCTAATTATAAGTTTGAAATCGCCAACCCGCATTGAGCAAGCGTGGTGATTAATGCTCTAACCTTCTCCGTGTGAGAAGAGGCTTTGCTCAGCAGTGGGCATTTATAGGCTGTTGATGAGTACATTAATTACATTAAGAAAGAGAAACAAAGAGAACAAAAGTAATAGGTACTCCTTTCTTGATTTACTCTGAGAAAACGTGGAAGTCAGTACTTACAATTAACGGATTTACTTAAAATCGCATCTGTGGATTACGTTCCTTCAACTTTAAACGTTTCATTAAGAGTTTAGTGTTTATTCTAGCAATCTGAGTGACTGTAAGGGATTCTATATTTATTATGTTTGTCGAGTTTTCATTGAAAATGATTAATTAGTGGGAAAGCTGATCGATAAATTTAACAGCTGAGGTGTTTGAAATGAAATGACGTGAAAACGATAATGAAAAATTAGTATTTTCTTTAATGTTTTGGTAAAAACATTGTATACATAGTGATGTGTATGGAAATATGTCTAAGGACAGTTAGGAATTTTCTTTCTGTAGGGGGGGAATCATCCAATGGCTTCCCCCCCCCTCTTCCCGGGTGAGACGAGAATATCAGACTCTTACTGTCTAAAAACTACTACATTTCGAGCCGGAGCCCCGGCAACCCGTTAAGTCCTCAACGGCTCCGTATTGGCATCAGCCCTATTGGGTCATATCTGTAGTGGTCTGATGGCTCTTTGAGTCGCGCGCCGTACTAGTTCGGAAGCTAGAGAGTAATAATAGGCAACCTACCTTTTTCATTTGAAACCGCAGCTGTGCTAAAAATGTTGTGTACCCTTGTTGGGTATAACAATAATTAGGTGCTGTTGTTTTATGTAATTGAATAGTTCCTTCCTACGTTAACCAACAATATCTGCTTCATGCTTGATATTATTGTATTAATTTAGCGCAGCAGTTTCCGTAGTAACATCTAACCACTGAATACAAACTTTACACCCACGAAACCTGCTCTCGGATAACGTGGCCTTAGGCTATTTTATGTAATCATAATAAATACATCTACCTAAAATACATCTACCTAAAATAATAATGTATCAAGTGATGACTGTTTTCTTATGGTATAAGCCGGTAAACGAGCAGACGGATCACCTGATGGTAAGCAATCGTCGCCGCCCATGGACCCCTGAAACACAACACCGAGGCGTTTCAAGTGCCTGAAGTACCGGCCTTTTGGGAATTGAGAATTTGAAGATTGTGGTAGATTCGGGTATTGGGGAGACTGAGGAGGGGGGGGAGGGCGTAATTGGGCCTCCGGTAACCTCACTCACACGACGAAACACAACAAGCGTAGTTTCACGTCGGTTTTCTGTGAGGCCGTGGTATCAATCCGGTCGAGCCGGCCCATGCGTGCCGAAGCATGGCTCTCCCACACTTAAGAACTGTTCTATATTATCATAGACAGCCGGAAGACGTCCATTGCTGGACAAAGACCTCCCCCTTAGTCCTCCACGTCAAATGACAACTTGCCACCTGCATCCATCGCCTCCTCGCAACTCTGGAGATGTCGTCGGTCCACCTAACAGGAGGCCTACCCGCGATTCGTCTTCCAGTCCGTGGTCACCACTCTAGGACTTTCCTGGCCCATCTGCTGTCAGTCCGTCGAGCAACGTGGCTCATTGCCACTTCAGCCTGCAGATTTTGCGAGATATGTCGGTAAATCTAGTTCTTTGGCGACCAATTATTACCAAAGAATTTTGTTTTGTTTATTATTGTGTATTATAGTCTTAGCAGTAATATGTGCAATATTTAGCGAAATGGCTGATAACCAGGCGATTGTAATGGAAAACCTAAAGATCGAGCCTAATAGCATGCCATTGGAGGAGCCTATGTCTAGCAAGAGACGGCAACGGGTTGACTAAATATGATTGGTGATGTTATCGATGTTTAAGGCTAGCCTTATGCCCTACTACATAGAATTCATAACGAATGAAAACTGTCTATAACTACATCACGTTATTTAGTCTTGTTATATCATAAAGTCTGAAACGACAGTTTTACTATCAAGTGACAACTATTACGTTGACAGGGTAAATACCTTCCGTGAGTTATTGCTGAAAATGATAGTAACATAGTGTTGATACACTAGTTGCGTCACACGTTTATTTTGGACGATAACCGTTGTTTGTACGTTGTGGGTTTTTTCGCGGATGGGACGCTACGTTTGTTTATAACACCCTGTATTGTTGAATGGCCGTGACCTCGTTTACGTACTTTTTTCACTTTAGCCTCTCTTCTGTGCAGTAGGTGCATTCTAAAAAGCTGAATCTAGACTTCACGTCACGTCATATTATCAATAAACAATAATAATTATAATTGTTATAAGTTACAGGTGCCTACGAGGATTATGCAAATTTTTCTGTAACATCTTTACCTTAGCACCCCTATGAAAAGCATTTGAAGTGTAACCCTCAGAAAAAACAAAAAGTACCTACTCATAACTAAACAATAAAAATTGCTACTACAACTGCGTTTGAACTAAACTGTATTTGAGCGAATACAATAAGACACTGAAGAAAAAATTTGAAACGAAGTTTCATTGATAGCAATTTAGAACATTCTGCCTGAACAATACAATCGATTTTCCACCGGCAGCACTGCATAATGGCACTTGATGATGCTAACGTTTCCTGAAACCCCATCAAGCTACGTAAATATTGACAACGGAGAGCTGAAGAATAAATTCGGTACTTTATGATTCCCGCTACAATAGTACAGACACCAATTTGTTTTTTTTTTTTTTTTTTTGTTAATTTTGTTTCTGTTTTAATTGCATAAATTTTTTATTTCTTATTATTGATTAGGTACCTAATTAGTTGGTTTTTTAAGTACCTAAATAATAGTATTTATACAAGATTAACAGTATAACTCCATGGCGTAAGCTGTAGTAAATAAATAAATAAAATTTTGTCGAAAATATTTCGCATTTTTTTTGTAAGCTACTTAGTGAGTGAAGTATTATTTTGTTTACTGAATATTAATGAAGACATGTAAAACAGCGTCGGTAGTCCATTTATGAATGGGTAGGTATTGTAAATGTTTCCGTAAATTAAGTAATTTTTGAATCTGAATCTCCAATAGTTACTAACAATCGTACCTATACTTAATAGTACGTTGAAAAAAGGCAGATATAATGTAAATTGAAATGAAGCACACAAATATCAGTGATGTTTTTATGTGTGCATGTTTAATGGGTTACCACGATACCAGACTTGAAATGATAGATGTCCTTCGTGTCAATGTGTGTATGTTCGGCAAGTAAC